GTAGATTAAATACATGACATGGAGATGACTTGTTGACTCCACATTGCCAAAGTCTGGGTTGTGCATGTGCATTTCTTTTAAAGTGGAGAGGGCGGGTCTTTTCAAAAATTTGTGAAAATCCTCCACTATCAGTTCACCTCTAGAAATCTAATGATCAATCTGCACAATGTTTTTGTGTTGCAGTGTAAAGTTATTTATTTACATTCTCTTTCTTAAGTATGCAATATAGCCTGGTGTTTTGAATAAGTAAAAAAAGTTCCCTTTTGCTGCTCAGCATTTAGTTAAAAGTTCACAGGGTGTCTTTAAAGCAGTACTGATCATATGGCGACTTAATAAGCAGAGAATTCTCTCTGTTAGCAAATCTGCATTCAAGGCACATCCTCTCTCTGTCCTGTGTGTTTAATGTCTCGTATGTAGCGTCCTTATAACAGCTGTCTTTCGTGGGTAGTTAAGACCAGCTCCTAGCTTTTGTTAATTGAGTCTAATTGAAGTACATGAAGGGAGAATAAAGGCAGCAGGCTTTTATGACATAAAAGACTGCAGCCGCCTCTCAGTAGTATTTATTTTCAACCTCTTCCACTCTGATTTAAGTGTGAGCGGACAATAGTGGCCTGACAGTGATATGTATGCACGTGGGTGCGTGCGCGTCTGTGTGTGATCTGTCGTTTGATTTACTGCGCCCACCTTCACAAGGACCAGCCTCTTATCAGATCAAAGCCACAAGCAGGCGGGCTATGAAAGGCGGTTGGGTGTGCATGCATGTGCTCTGCAGAGGACTGAGGTGTGGAGGAGATGGGAGTGTTTTTGTTGCTTTTAACCCCGGACAATGACACTGCAAAGGAGAGAGCAAGTGAGCACTCTTTGAACTAATGAAGGAAACCTTTTACACTTCTTCACAAAGTTGTCCTCTCTCTCCACACAGTATGGATTTTTCTCCCTGGTTTCCAAGTATAATAAAACAAAAGGGAACCAAGCATTTTATTCGCTGCATTCTTGTTAGTTTTTGGTTTCCTCTCTCGAATCCCGATTCTTCAAAGATGCAGATTCATCAAAGGGCAGCTGCTGGTTTTTCTTTCCACTTGCTGAGGCAAGCTGGATTTGATTAGATTTTTTAAAATAATTTTAAAAGGGAGAGAAAGAGATTAAAAAGTGTCTTAAAAAAATTGTTTTGTTTCTGTTTCTTTAGGTCATCTGGGTGCAAAGGCAACGCAGTCTTTACAGAGCCAAGCGGGTGCCGCTGACGGGACAAGACTATGATCAGGCAAAAAGTATGTTTGAATTAAAGTTATCTTTGTAAATATTTTACTTTCTAGCCAAGAAATTGATTTGAAGGCTGGATTCGGGTCGAGTGCTACAAATGTCACCTTTCTTATGTAAAGCCTTTAAAGGTATTTTGGAGGATTTTTTTGCTAACTTTTGAAAAGACCCGCCCTCTCCAAAAAAACAATGCACATGCACAACTCTGTGCCCACTCCCGAGAGGGAACGCCTATCAAACATGTGCGAGAGCATGCACGAGCCCATTTCTCCTCATGCACACTCTGTTTAAACGTTGTTGTTTGCATCGCTCATACAAGCTTACTTTCTAAAAGAAGATTTGCAATTTTTCCACTATGTCAGACTCACCATCAGGAAGTGAAAATGGGGGCAAGCACGAAGGACGGCCATACGTAAACATCACCAGAATGATTGACAATCAGGAGGACCACTTATTTTGATGATCCACCCAGAAAAAG